GCACCTCGCTGGGGGACAGCGCCCAGCAGAAGCTGGAGGAGACGAGTGCGTGCTTGGCGGCAGCGCTGCAGGCGGTAGAAGAAAAGATCCGGCAGGAGGATGCTCAGGGCCAGCGGTAGGTGGGGCGGGGTCCGGTCGGGCGAGGGCATCTGGGTGCCTCTCGGGTTAGTGAAGGTGTAGTGTGCGGGCTGGGCGTGGTCTCGGGCACCTTATATAGTGGGGCGGGGCCCGGCGTGGGCGGGGCTTGCACGCCACCCTGTCATTTATTCTGAGGCAGCTGTGCTCCGCTGGAATAGGGGGATGGGGGGAGTCAGAGGCCGTGGGGCGGGGCCCCGCCCATGCACTGCTGATTTGAGTGGGAGGCCTGGTCTATGTAGGGAGGGGGCACGGCCTTTTCCGCCGACCCCACCTTGCCCCCCTCTTCTCTCACTGCGCCCACCCCAGCCCCTCTGCTTCGGAGAAGAGCACGGGCAGCATCCTGGACGACATCGGCAGCATGTTTGATGACCTGGCGGACCAACTGGACGCCATGCTGGAATGATGTGGCACACGTTGGGCCCACCTATGCTGCCTGGGCTCTAGCTGCACACTGACCTTTACCTCAGGATGGGCACTTCTGGGCGCAGCGCAAGTGGGCATGGTGGGGGGCCGAGGGGGACGGGGTGCAGGGGACAGCCTGCCAGGGCCGCGAGGCGGGGGCGGGTCGTGCTGCCCTGTCCCTGCACAAGCACAACTCCTGCCCCCTGGGCCCAGGCAAGATGCCGAACGTGGAAGACTGCCTGGCCTAGGGACCCAAGGGCTCTGGACAGATGCTGCTGCTCTGTGGGTGCCTGTCCCTGTCTGCTGCTCCCTGTGCAATAACTGCTGGGCTACCCGCCCACCCACCACCGGGCTCTACCCAGTGTGTAGAGAAGGGGCAGCCCCTGGCACCCTGCCCTGAATCCACGTTGGGCCCACCTTGGGAGGTAGTGGGGGGGGGGGCAGCCACTGGAGCTCCCTCCCCAATCAGTGGCAGAGCACAGGCCTATGCCCAGCACAGAACTGCCCACTGGGGACCTCTGCCAGCTGCTCTGGCACAGCACAAGGGGCTGGGGTCAGGACCCCTGCCCTACTCTACCCCACAGAATATAAGCTATTGAGAGTATTAATTTATTGGGAATAAGCTGAGGCAGATTTCCCTAGAGAAACAAAAAGGTATAACTTTAACGAATATATATTTAAAGAAAGAAAAAATATTATTGATTCTATAGAAAACCATTTACCAACTGCAAGGACACTGGAGTCTAGCTCGAGACAAAAGCTGTTCCAGGCCCTGGCCACTGTCTGTCCTTTCCCTCTACCCAGGAGTGGCCAGACCCCCGGGCCAGTAGCGCACACAGTAGGCTGGGGTCTGTGCTCCACCAGGGCCTCCCTCTGCGCTCTCTTAACTTCTGTGTCTGAAGAACTCGAAGGATGTGCCTTGCTGCTGGGCTGTGTCCTCCATGCCGTGGAGATGGCGGGGAGGGCTCCCTCCTCTCTGGGGGATGCTGCTGTGAAGGTCTGCCTGTGTTTGGGGGAAGCTATGTGCACAGCGTGAAGTGGTGGTCAGCCGGATGACAGCAGTGGGTGCAGGGCGTGCATGCCAGGCTGCGTGTGACGCGTGTGAAGGTGTGCCTGACTCTCCCTCCCCAGGCTCCGAGCAGGCAGCCAGCCCACCCCCATCTGAATTCCCACGGATGCTTCTGCTCGTGGTCCAAGGCTGTGTCGTGTGGTTGTTCTCGCCTCTCTCTCCTCGCCCCCTCCAAAAAAGTACTGACCAGCCTCCTCTATTGTGTTTGCTGACCCACGTGTGTTGGACACAACTTTGACATTTCTTAAAAAAAAATTAAAAATGCCAAAAACCAGCAATTGTGATGCAGGTGGGCAGAGGGGATCAGCCAAGGTGGCATCTAGGAATGTGAGGCCCCTTTCAGCTGTCATGTGGTGGCGCGTCCCCTAGTGGCGTTACCTGGTCGTCCACCTGACCTCTCCTTAGCGGGTGGCCAAGGCTGGGGCTCCGGCAGGTCGGGAGGGGGGTCTGGGCAGGGCGGTATTCTTGGCTGTCAATAAACAGCAGAAAACGGCCTGGCTCACTGTTTGGTGGTGTGTGCTGGGAGAATGGTGGTGGTGGTGGTGGTGCTGGGGGGAAGGGGGGAGGGGTGGAGTTGGCCTGTCCATGGCAGGGAGGGGAAGTCAACTGAGAGGGCTACATCCTGGGGTCAACAGACAATAGGAACGCTTTTTGTGACCCCTCCCAGCTTCCCTCCCACTGGCTGCTGGTGCCCGGGCACACCAGTGCTCTTGGGCAGCCTCTCCCTCATCCCAGGACCATCCCTACTCACAGCCACAGTCTGTGCAGCTTTTATTTCAATCAGAAGTAATCAAATCTATGTACAGTCTAAAAACAATAGAAAAGGTGAGTAAAAAAGTCCTGCAGTCCATCAGGAATGGGGATGGAGGGTGGACTGGGCAAGCATTATACCTGGAGTGTAGAGAGAGGGTCTGGGCACTGTCCTGGCAGCAATGATGACAGAGCCAGACAGAGGGAGACTCGCCGGGTGCAGGATCAGGACAGTGCCTGGCCAGGTGAGCCTGCCCGCCTATCCCCTAATGGGCAGGCAGAGACCCTGAGACCAGCCTGGCTTAGACAGGCCTAGGGTGGGCCCAGAAGAAGTCAAGACCTGGCCTGGATTCTGTCAGCAAGTCCAAACCTGTAGAGGAAGGGCTCTGTTTCAGGTGCCCCTCTGGCCATCCTGCCCCAATACCACCTGCCGTTTATAGCTGCCCTCCACTGTCACCTGCCCGGGGCTCCTGGCTCCTCACCCCCAACACCCTGCTCTCCGGTGCAGTCAGCCCCTTTGGATGGCCCCAGCCCAGACTCTGACCTTCACAGTGCTGTCCACAGCCCCTGAGAAGAGCCGGCCCCGGGACACGGCCAGTGCAGTTACACTGCCCTGGTGACGCAGCAGGGTCTGTGTGCAGATCATGTTGTCCATACTCCAGACCTGGGGGCACATAAGACATGAGGACTGCCAGGCCAGGCTACCCACCCTGAGCCTCCCACTGTCACCAGGCCAGCACGGACCCTGAGAGACCGATCATAGGATGCGCTGAAGACTTTGGTCTGGTCCGGTGTCGAGATGACCGCCAGGGCATACACGGTGCCGACGTGGCCTGTCAGGGTCCGAACCTGCTCCTTGGACTCGATGTCCCACACCTGAGGTGATGGCACAGGCAGGTCAGAGACACAGATGGGAGAGGACAGGGGGCCAGAGTCAGGCCTTGCCCCTAGGTGTCCACCCTTACGTGGATGAGGTTCTCGTAGGTGCCACAGACAATGTGGTGATTCGTCACGGCGATGGAGTACACACTGCCACCAGAGGTCTGTAGGACATGGATGCAGTCGAGGGTCCGGATATCCCAGATCTATGGGCAAGCGCAGAACACTTGGTCCTAGGCCAGCGTCTCTGGGGCTTCAGATGTGGGCAGCCCACCCACCACCCAGGTTGTGTGTGAGGGTCTCCCTGTCCCAGTAGGAAGGGGGCAGGGCAGTGCTGGTACAGGGAGGGGCCCTGCCACCAGGAAAGTGGCAAAGGGGTACCTTGATTGTCTGGTAGGAGCCACTGTACAGGTAGCTCTGGGCAGCCACCAGGGCCCGCACCCAGTGGTTTAGGCCTGTTAGCTCCTTCTTCAGCTTCAGCTCCGTGCCCACAATGTCCCAGACCTGTGAGAACATCAGCATGGGCTGGGTGGCCAGGCATCCGGCACCCCAATGCCTGGTGCACGCACACACTGCCTTGCCTGACCTTGATGGCCTTCAGGGAACCACTGAAGAGCATGTTGTGAGAGGAGACCAGCGTGCACACCGGGTTGTCATGGGCCCGGATCGTGTTCACCTTCTGCAGGTTCTGGATATCCCACACCTGGTGGGTGGAAGGACAGGAGCCTCAGCACCAGCCCTGCTGCCCTGAGCCCAGGCCCCCGTGTGCCCGGGACTCCCAGATACCAATACGTGTCCTGGACCCCCACGGGCCCTACTCACAATGATAGTGCAGTCTGCGGAGCCGCTGTAGAGCTTGCACCTGGGGAGGCAAAGCTAAGGTGTCAGGGCAGAAGGCACTGTCCTCACTGACACTGCCCTGCAGGCCAAGGGAGCCCTGGCCACCAGGCATCAGCAGCTTGGGCAATGCCCAGGCCACTGCCGCTTCCTTGGGCCCAGTCTTAGTGTTTTGGTCTCAGTGAGGGATGCGGAAGTGGAGGCCCAAACCCTGGCGCCTGCCTGGCAAGTGCCGAGCTGGGAGGTAATTACCCAGTTAGCACTGCTGGCAGTCAAGCTGCTACTTCTTGTGATTGAGAATCCCCCCCCCCCCGCCC